GAACGTGAAGAACTGTTGCAGCAGGAGGAACATGAGACACAACTGCAGAGGGAGGACCGTGAAGCACAGCTGCAACGTTATTAACGTTAAGCACAGCTGCAACGGGAGGAACGTGAAGCACCGCTGCAACGGGAGACGCGTGAAGCACAGCTGCAGCGGGAGGAACGTGAGAGACAGGTGCAGCTGGAAAAACGTGAAGCATAGCTGCAGCGGGAAGAATGCGAAGCACATCTGCAGCAGGAGGAACGTGAAGACCAGCTGCAACGAAAGGAACGTGAAGCACAGCTACAGCTGGAGGAACGTGAAGCATAGCTGCAGCGAGAGGAACATGAACGTGAAGCACAGCTGCAGCGAGAGGAGCGTGAAGCACAGCTGCAGCGAGAGGAGCGTGCAGCACAGCTGCATCAGAGGAACGTGAATCACAGCTGCAGCTGGAGTAACGTGAAGCACAGCTCCAGCAGGAGGAACGTGAAACTCATTGGCAGCATTTAAAACGTGAAGCACAGCTGCAGCGTGAGGAAAGTGAGACACAGCTGCAGCAGGAGGAACGTGAAGCACAGCTGCAGCGGGAGGAACGTGAAGAGAGGCTGAAGCGGGAGGAAAATTAGACCCAGATGGAGCGGGAGGTACGTGAAGCACAGCTGCAGCGGGGTACGTGAAGCAAGTCTGCAGCTGGAAGGACGTGAAGCAAGGCTGCAGCGGGAGGAACGTGAAGAGCTGTTGCAGCAGGAGGAATGTGTAGAGCGCCTGCAGCAGGAGGAACGTGGAGCACAACTGAAGCAGGAGGAACATGAAACACAGCTGCAGCAGGAAGAACGGGAAGTACTGCTGCAGCTGGAGGAACGTGAAGCAAAGCTGCAGCGGGAGAAACGTGAAGCACAGCTGCAGCAGGAAGAACGGGAAGTACTGCTGCAGCTGGAGGAACATGAAGCAAGGCTGCAGCGGGAGGAACATAAGACACAGCTGCAACGGGAGGAACGTAAAAGCAAGGCTGCAAAAGGAGGAACATGAGAAACAACAGCAGCTATAGGAACGTGAAGCACAGCTCCAGCAGGAGGAACTTGAGACACAGCTGCAGCAGGAGGAGCGTGAAGCACAGATGCAGCGGGAGAAACGTGAACCACAGCTGTAGCAGGAGGAACGTGAGACACAGCTGCAGCAGGAGGAACGTGAAGCACAGCTGCCGCGAGAGGAACGTGAAGAGAGGCTGAAACGGGAGGAAAATGATACCCAGATGGACTGGGAGGAACGTGAAGCACAGCTGCAGCGGGACGAACGTGAAGCAAGGCTGCAGCTGGAAGGACCTGAAGCAAGGCTGCAGCGGGAAGAATGCGAAGCACATCTGCAGCAGGAGGAACTTGAAGACCACCTGCAACGAAAGGAACGTGAAGCACAGCTGCAGCTGGAGGAACGTGAAGCATAGCTGCAGCGAGAGGAACATGAACGTGAAGCACAGCTGCAGCGAGAGGAGCGTGAAGCACAGCTGCAGCGAGAGGAGCGTGAAGCACAGTTGCATCAGAGGAACGTGAATCACAGCTGTAGCTGGAGTAACGTGAAGCACAGCTGCAGCAGGAGGAACGTGAAACTCATTGGCAGCATTTAAAACGTGAAGCACAGCTGAAGCGGGAGGAACGTGAGACACAGCTGCAGCAGGAGGAACGTGAAGCACAGCTGCAGCGGGAGGAACGTGAAACTCATTGGCAGCATTTAAAACGTGAAGCACAGCTGAAGCGGGAGGAACGTGAGACACAGCTGCAGCAGGAGGAACGTGAAGCACAGCTGCAGCGGGAGGAACGTGAAGAGAGGCTGTAGCGGGAGGAAAATTAGACCCAGATGGAGCGGGAGGTACGTGAAGCACAGCTGCAGCGGGGTACGTGGAGCAAGTCTGCAGCTGGAAGGACTTGAAGCAAGGCTGCAGCGGGAGGAGCGTGAAGAACTGTTCCAGCAGGAAGAACGTGTAGAGCGCCTGCAGCAGGAGGAACGTGGACCACAGCTGAAGCAGGAGGAACATGAGACTCAGCTGCAGTAGGAAGAACGGGAAGTACTGCTGCAGCTGGATGAACGTGAAGCAAAGCTGCAGCGGGAGGAACGTGAAGCACAGCTGCAGCAGGAAGAACGGGAAGTACTGCTGCAGCTGGAGGAACGTGAAGCAAGGCTGCAGCGGGAGGAACATGAGACACAGCTGCAACGGGAGGAACGTAAAAGCAAGGCTGCAAAAGGAGGAACATGAGAAACAACAGCAGCTATAGGAACGTGAAGCACAGCTCCAGCAGGAGGAACATGAGACACAGCTGCAGCAGGAGGAGCGTGAAGCACAGATGCAGCGGGAGAAACGTGAACCACAGCTGTAGCAGGAGGAACGTGAGACACAGCTGCAGCAGGAGGAACATGAAGCACAGCTGCCGCGAGAGGAACGTGAAGAGAGGCTGAAGCGGGAGGAAAATGAGACCCAGATGGACCGGGAGGAACGTGAAGCACAGCTGCAGCGGGACGAACGTGAAGCAAGGCTGCAGCTGGAAGTACGTGAAGCAAGGCTGCAGCGGGAGGAACGTGAAGAACTGTTGCAGCAGGAGGAACATGAGACACAACTGCAGCGGGAGGAACGTGAAGCACAGCTGCAACGTTAGGAACGCTAAGCACAGCTGCAACGGGAGGAACGTGAAGCACCGCTGCAACGGGAGACGCGTGAAGCACAGCTGCAGCGGGAGGAACCTGAGAGACAGGTGCAGCTGAAAAAACGTGAAGCACATCTGCAGCGGTAGGAACGTGAAGCACAGCTGCAACGAGAGGAACGTGAAGCACAGCTGCAGCGGGAGGAACGTGAAGCACAGCTGCAGATGGAGGAACGTGAAGAGCGTCTGAAGCGGGAGGAACATCAGGCACAACTACAGCGGGAGGAACGTGAAGCACAGCTGCAGCGGGAGGAACGTGAAGCAAGGCTGTAGCAAGAGGAACATGAGACACAGCTGCAACGGGAGGAACGTGAAAGCACAGCTGCAGCAGGAGAAACGTGAAGCACAGCTGCAGCGGGAGGAACGTGAGAGACAGGTGCAGCTGGAAAAACGTGAAGCATAGCTGCAGCGGGAAGAATTTGAAGCACATCTGCAGCGGGAAGAATGTGAAGCACATTTGCAGCGGGAGGAACGTGAAGCACAGCTGCAACGAGAGGAACGTGAAGCACATCTGCTTCGGGAAGAACGTGAAGCACAGCTGCAGCGAGAGGAACATGAACGTGAAGCACAGCTGCAGCGAGAGGAGCGTGAAGCACAGCTGCAGCGAGAGGAGCGTGAAGCACAGCTGCATCATAGGAACGTGAAGCACAGCTGCAGCGGGAGTAACGTGAAGCACAGCTGCAGCTGGAGGAACGTGAAACTCACTGCCAGCAGGTAAAACGTGAAGCACAGTTGCAGCGGGAGGAACGTGAGACACGGCTGCAGCGGGAGGAACGTTAAGCACAGCTGCAGCTGGAGGAACGTGAAGAGCGTCTGAAGCGGGAGGAAAATCAGGCACAGCTGCAGCATGAGGAACGTGAAGCACAGGTGCAGCGGGAGGAACGTGAAGCACAGAAGAAGCAGGAGGAACGTGAACGTGAAGCACAGCTGCAGCGAGAAGAACGGGAAGCACAGCGGGAGCGGGAGGAATGTGAAGCAAAGCTGCAACGGGAGAAACGTGAAGCACCGCTGCAACGGGAGATGCGTGAAGCACAGCTGCAGCGGGAGGACCGTGAGACACAGATGAAGCGGGAGGAACGTGAAGAATCGCTGCAGCGGGAAGAATGTGAAGCACAGCTGCAGCGGGAGTAACGTGAAGCACAGCTGCAGGAGGTGGAACGTGAACGGGAAATACAGCTGCAGCGGGAGGAACGTCAAGCACAGCTGGAGCAGAAGGCATGTCAAGCAAGGCTGTAGCAGGAGGAAAATCCGACATAGCTGCAACGGGAGGAACGTGAAAGCACAGCTGGAACGGGAAAAACGTGAAGCACAGGTGCAGCAGGAGAAACGTGAAGAACAGCTTCAGGGGGAGGAACGTGACACACAGATGCAGCGGGAGGAACGTGAAGCAAAGCTGCAGCAGGAGGAACGTGAAGCAAGGCTGCAGTGGGAGGAACATGAGACAGCTGCAGCGGGAGGAACGTGAAAGCACAGCTGCAGAGGGAGAAATGTGAAGCACAGCTGCACCGGGAGAAACGTGAGAGACAAGTGCAGCTAAAAAAACGTGAAGCATTGCTGCAGCGGGAAGAATGTGAAGCACAACTGCAGCAGGAGGAATGTGAATCTCATTTGCAGCAGGAAAAACGTGAAGCACAGCTGCAGCGGGAGGAACGTGAGAGACAGGTGCAGCTGGAAAAACGTGAAGCATAGCTGCAGCGGGAAGAATGTGAAGCACATCTGCAGCGGGAGGAACGTAAAGCATAGCTGCAGCGGGAGGAACGTGAAACACAGCTGCAGCGAGAGGAACATGAACGTGAAGCCAAGCTGCAGCGAGAGGAGCGTGAAGCACTGCTGCATCAGAGGAACGTGAAGCACAGCTGCAGCGGGAGTAACGTGAAGCACAGCTGCAGCTGGAGGAACGTGAAGAGCGTCTGAAGCGGGAGGAACATCAGGCACAACTGCAGCAGGAGGAACGTGAACGTGAGGCACAGCTGCAGCGGGAAGACCGTGAAGCACAGCTGCAGTGGGAGGAACGTGAAGCACAGATGCAGCGGTTGGAATGTGAGAGACTGATGCTGCGGGAGGAACGTGAAGCATCGCTCCAGCGGGAAAAATGTGAAGCAGAGCTGCAGCGGGAGGAACGTGAAGCACAGCTGCAGGAGGTGGAACGTGAATGTGAAACACAGCTGCAGCAGAAGGAACGTCAAGCAAGGCTGCAGCAGGAGGAAAATGAGACACATCTGCAGCGGGAGGAACGTGAATGCACAGCTGCAACGGGAGGAACGCGAAGCACAGGTGCAGCAGGAGAAACGTGAAGAACAGCTTCAGGGGGTGGAACGTGAGACACAGATGCAGCGGAAGGAACGTGAAGCACAACTTCAGCGGGAGGAGTGTGAATCACACAAGCTGCAGCGGGAGGAACGCGAAGAGCGTCTGAAGCATGAGGAACATGAGACACAGCTGCAGCGGAAGGAATGTGAAGCATAGCTGCAGCGGGGGTCAAGTGAAGTATAACTGCAGGGCGAGGAATGTGAAGCACTGCTGCAGCAGGAGAAACGTGAGACACAGCTGCAGCGGGAGGAACGTGATGCACTGCTGCATCTGTTGGAACGTGAAGCACAGTTGCAGCGGGAGAAACATAAATTACAGCTGCAGCGGGAGGAATGTGAACGTGAAGCACAGCTGCATACGGGAGGAACGTGAAGCACAGATGCAGCAGGAGGAACGTGAAGCACAGCTGCAGCTGGAGGAACGTGAGACACAGCTGCAGCGGGAGGAACGTGTTGCACAATTGCAGCTGGAGGAACGTGAAGCACAGCTGCAGCTGGAGGAAAGTGAAGCACAACTGCAGCTGGAGGAAAGTGAAGCACAACCGCAGCTGGAGGAACGTGATAGACAGCTGCAGCTGGAGGAACGTGAGACACAGCTGCAGCGGGAGGAACGTGTAGCACAATTGCAGCTGGAGGAACGTGAAGCACAGCTGCAGCTGGAGGAACGTGAAGCACAGCTGCAGCGGGACGAACGTGAAGCAAGGCTGCAGCTGGAAGGACCTGAAGCAAGGCTGCAGCGGGAGGAACGTGAAGAACTGTTGCAGCAGGAGGAACATGAGACACAACTGCAGAGGGAGGAACGTGAAGCACAGCTGCAACCTTAGGAACGTTAAGCACAGCTGCAACGGGAGACGCGTGAAGCACAGCTGCAGCGGGAGGAACGTGAGAGACAGGTGCAGCTGGAAAAACGTGAAGCATAGCTGCAGCGGGAAGAATGCGAAGCACATCTGCAGCAGGAGGAACGTGAAGACCAGCTGCAACGAAAGGAACGTGAAGCACAGCTACAGCTGGAGGAACGTGAACCATAGCTGCAGCGAGAGGAACATGAACGTGAAGCACAGCTGCAGCGAGAGGAGCGTGAAGCACAGCTGCAGCGAGAGGAGCGTGAAGCACAGCTGCATCAGAGGAACGTGAATCACAGCTGCAGCTGGAGTAACGTGAAGCACAGCTCCAGCAGGAGGAACGTGAAACTCATTGGCAGCATTTAAAACGTGAAGCACAGCTGCAGCGGGAGGAAAGTGAGACACAGCTGCAGCAGGAGGAACGTGAAGCACAGCTGCAGCGGGAGGTACGTGAAGAGAGGCTGAAGCGGGAGGAAAATTAGACCCAGATGGAGCGGGAGGTACGTGAAGCACAGCTGCAGCGGGGTACGTGAAGCAAGTCTGCAGCTAGAAGGACGTGAAGCAAGGCTGCAGCGGGAGGAACGTGAAGAGCTGTTGCAGCAGGAGGAATGTGTAGAGCGCCTGGAGCAGGAGGAACGTGGAGCACAACTGAAGCAGGAGGAACATGAAACACAGCTGCAGCAGGAAGAACGGGAAGTACTGCTGCAGCTGGAGGAACGTGAAGCAAAGCTGCAGCGGGAGAAACATGAAGCACAGCTGCAGCAGGAAGAACGGGAAGTACTGCTGCAGCTGGAGGAACATGAAGCAAGGCTGCAGCGGGAGGAACATAAGACACAGCTGCAACGGGAGGAACGTAAAAGCAAGGCTGCAAAAGGAGGAACATGAGAAACAACAGCAGCTATAGGAACGTGAAGCACAGCTCCAGCAGGAGGAACATGAGACACAGCTGCAGCAGGAGGAGCGTGAAGCACAGATGCAGCGGGAGAAACGTGAACCACAGCTGTAGCAGGAGGAACGTGAGACACAGCTGCAGCAGGAGGAACGTGAAGCACAGCTGCCGCGAGAGGAACGTGAAGAGAGGCTGAAGCGGGAGGAAAATGAGACCCAGGTGGACCGAGAGGAACGTGAAGCACAGCTGCAGCGGGACGAACGTGAAGCAAGGCTGCAGCTGGAAAGACGTGAAGCAAGGCTGCAGCGGGAGGAACGTGAAGAACTGTTGCAGCAGGAGGAACATGAGACACAACTGCAGCGGGAGGAACGTGAAGCACAGCTGCAACGTTAGGAACGTTAAGCACAGCTGCAACGGGAGGAACGTGAAGCACCGCTGCAACGGGAGACGCGTGAAGCACAGCTGCAGCGGGAGGAACCTGAGAGACAGGTGCAGCTGGAAAAAACGTGAAGCATAGCTGCAGCGGGAAGAATGTGAAGCACATCTGCAGCGGGAGAACGTGAAGCACAGCTGCAACGAGAGGAACGTGAAGCACAGCTGCAACGAGAGGAACGTGAAGCTCAGCTGCAGCGAGAGGAACATGAACGTGAAGCACAGCTGCAGCGAGAGGAGCGTGAAGCACAGCTGCAGCGAGAGGAGCGTGAAGCACAGCTGCATCAGAGGAACGTGAATCACAGCTGCAGCGGGAGTAACGTGAAGCACAGCTGCAGCTGGAGGAACGTGAAACTCATTGGCAGCAGGTAAAACGTGAAGCACAGCTGCAGCGGGAGGAACGTGAGACACAGCTGCAGCGGGAGGAACGTGAAGCACAGCTGCAGCGGGAGGAACGTGAAGAGCGTCTGAAGCGGGAGGACCGTCAGACACAGCTGCAGCGGGAGGAACGTTAAGCACAGCTGCAGCAGGAGGAACGTGAAGCACCGCTGCAACGGGAGACGCGTGAAGCACAACTGCAACGGGAGGAGAGTGAATCACACAAGCTGCAGCGGGAGAAACGCGAAGAGCGTCTGCAGCATGAGGAACATGAGACACAGCTGCAGGGGAAGGAATGTGAAGCATAGCTGCAGCGGGGGTCAAGTGAAGTATAACTGCAGGGCGAGGAATGTGAAGCACTGCTGCAGCGGGAGAAACGTGAGACACAGCTGCAGCGGGAGGAACGTGATGCACTGCTGCATCTGGGGGAACGTGAAGCACAGTTACAGCGGAAGGAACATAAATTACAGCTGCAGCGGGAGGAATGTGAACGTGAAGCACAGCTGCATACGGAAGGAACGTGAAGCACAGATGCAGCAGAAGGAACGTGAAGCACAGCTGCAGCTGGAGGAACGTGAGACACAGCTGCATCGGGTGGAACGGGAAACTCATTGGCAGCAGGTAGAACGTGAAGCACAGCTGAAGCGGGAGGAACGTGAGACACGGCTGCAGCGGGAGGAACGTGAAGCACAGCTGCAGCTGGAGGAACGTGAAGAGCGTCTGAAGCGGAAGGAACATCAGGCACAACAACAGCGGGAGGAACGTGAAGCACAGCTGCAGCGGGAAGAACGTGAAGCACAGAAGAAGCAGGAGGAACGTGAACGTGAAGCACAGCGGGAGCGGGAGGAACGTGAAGCAAAGCTGCAACGGGAGGAACGTAAAGCACCGCTGCAACGGGAGACGCGTGAAGCACAGCTGCAGCGGGAGGACCGTGAGACACAGATGAAGCGGGAGGAACGTGAAGAATCGCTGCAGCGGGAAGAATGTGAAGCACAGCTGCAGCGGGAGTAACGTGAAGCACAGCTGCAGGAGGTGGAACGTGAACGGGAAATACAGCTGCGGCGGGAGAAACGTCGAGCACAGCTGGACCACAAGTAATGTCAAGCAAGGCTGTAGCAGGAGGAAAACCAGACACAGCTGCAACAGGAGGAACGTTAAAGCACAGCTGCAACGGGAGAAACGTGAAGCACAGGTGCAGCAGGAGAAACGTGAAGAACAGCTTCAGGGGGAGGAACGTGACACACAGATGCAGCGGGAGGAACGTGAAGCAAAGCTGCAGCATGAGGAACGTGAAGCAAGGCTGCAGTGGGAGGAACATGAGACAGCTGCAGCGGGAGGAACGTGAAAGCACAGCTGCAGAGGGAGAAACTTGAAGCACAGCTGCAGCGGGAGGAACGTGATAGACAGGTGCAGCTGGAAAAACGTGAAGAGTAGCTCCAGCGGGAAGAATGTGAAGCACATCTGCCGCGGGAGGAACGTGAAGCACAGCTGCAGCGAGAGGAACGTGAACCACAGCTGCAGCAGGAGGAACGAGAGACACAGCTGCCGCGGGAGGAACGTGAAGAGAGGCTGAAGCGGAAGGAACGTGAAGAGAGGTTGAAGCGGGAGGAACGTGAAGCACAGCTGCAGCGGGGTACGTGAAGCAAGGCTGCAGCTGGAAGGACGTGAAGCAAGGCTGCAGCGGGAGGAACGTGAATAACTGTTGCAGCAGGAGGAACGTGTAGAGCGCCTGCAGCAGGAGGAACGTGAAGCACAGCTGCAGCAGGAGGAACATGAGACACAACTGTAGCGGGAGGAACGTGAAGCAGAGCTGCAACGTTAGGAACGTTAAGCACAGCTGCAACGGGACGAACGTGAAGCAACGCTGCAACGGGAAGAATGTGAAGCACAGCTGCAGCGGGAGGAACGTGAAGCACAGCTGCAGGACGTGGAACGTGAACGTGGAACACAGCTGCAGTGGGAGGAACGTGAAGCAAGGCTGCAGCAGGAGGAAAATGAGACACAGCTGCAGCGGAAGGAACGTGAAGCACAACTTCAGTGGGAGGAGTGTGAATCACACAAGCTGCAGCGGGAGGACCGCGAAGAGCGTCTGCAGCATGAGGAACATGAGACACAGCTGCAGCGGATGGAATGTGAAGCATAGCTGCAGTGGGGGTCAAGTGAAGTATAACTGCAGGGCGAGGAATGTGAAGCACTGCTGCAGCGGGAGAAACGTGAGACACAGCTGCAGCGGGAGGAACGTGATGCACTGCTGCATCTATTGGAACGTGAAGCACAGTTGCAGCGGGAGGAACATAAATTACAGCTGCACCGGGAGGAATGTGAACGTGAAGCACAGCTGCATACGGGAGGAACGTGAAGCACAGATGCAGCAGGAGGAACGTGAAGCACAGCTGCAGCTGGAGGAACGTGAGACACAGCTGCAGCGGGAGGAACGTGTAGCACAATTGCAGCTGGAGGAACGTGAAGCACAGCTGCAGCTGGAGGAAAGTGAAGCACAGCTGCAGCTGGAGGAACGTGAAGCACAGCTGCAGCTGGAGGAACGTGAAGCACAGCTGCAACTGGAGTAACGTGATAGACAGCTGCAGGTGGAGGAACGTGAGACACAGCTGCAGCGGGAGGAACGTGTAGCACAATTGCAGCGGGTGGAACGTGAAGCACAGCTGCAGCTGGAGGAACGTGAAGCAAAGCTGCTGCGGGAGGAACATGAGACACAGCTGCAACGGGAGGATCGTGAAAGCAAGGCTGCAAAAGGAGGAACATGAGACACAGCTGCAGCAGGAGGAGCGTGAAGCACAGCTGCCGCGGGAGGAACGTGAAGAGAGGCTGAAGCAGGAGGAAAATGAGACCCAGATGGACCGGGAGGAACGTGAAGCAAGGCGGCAGCTGGAAGGACGTGAAGCAAGGCTGCAGCGGGAAGAACGTGAAGAACTGTTGCAGCAGGAGGAACATGAGACACAACTGAAGCGGGAGGAACGTGAAGCACAGCTGCAACGTTAGGAACGTTAAGCACAGCTGCACCGGGAGGAACGTGAAGCACCGCAGCACCGGGAGGAACGTGAGACACAGATGCACCGGGAGGAACGTGAAGCATCGCTGAAGCGGGAAGAATGTGAAGCACAGCTGCAGCGGGAGAAACGTGAAGCACAGCTGCAGCGGGGGGAACGTGAGAGACAGGTGCAGCTGGAAAAACGTGAAGCATAGCTGCAGCGGGAAGAATGTGAAGCACATCTGCAGCGGGAGGAACGTGAAGCACAGCTGCAACGAGAGGAACGTGAAGCACAGCTGCAGCTGGAGGAACGTGAAGCACAGCTGAAGCGAGAGGAACATGAACATGAAGCACAGCTGCAGCGAGAGGAGCGTGAAGCACAGCTGCTGCGAGAGGAGCGTGAAGCACAGCTGCATCAGAGGAACTTGAATCACAGCTGCAGCGGGAGTAACGTGAAGCACAGCTGCAGCAGGAGGAACGTGAAGCTCATTGGCAGCAGGTAAAACGTGAAGCACAGCTGCAGCGGGAGGAACGTGAGACACAGCTGCAGCGGGAGGAACGTGAAGCACAGCTGCAGCGGGAGGAACGTGAAGAGCGTCTGAAGCGTGAGGAACGTCAGGCACAGCTGCAGCGGGAGGAACGTGAAGCACAGCTGCAGCGGGAGGAACGTGAAGCACCGCTGCAACGGGAGACGCGTGAAGCACAACTGCAGTGGGAGGACCGTGAGACACAGTTGAAGCGGGAGGAACGTGAAGAATTGCTGCAGCGGGAAGAATGTGAAGCACACCTTTAGCGGGAGGAACGTGAAGCACAGCTGCAGGAGGTGGAACGTGAACGGGAAATACAGCTGCAGAGGGAAGAACGTCAAGCACAGCTGGAGCAGAAGGCATATCAAGCAAGGCTGTAGCAGGAGGAAAATCAGACACAGCTGCAACGGGAGGAACGTGAAAGCACAGCTGCAACGGGAGAAACGTGAAGCACAGGTGCAGCAGGAGAAACGTGAAGAAGAGCTTCAGGGGGAGGAACGTGAGACACAGATTCAGCGGGAGGAACGTGAAGCACAGCTGCAGGAGGTGGAACGTGAACGGGAAATACAGCTGCAGCGGGAGGAATGTCAAGCACAGCTGGAGCAGAAGGAATGTCAAGCAAGGCTTTAGGAATGTTAAGGCTGTAGGAATGTCCTGATGAAGGAACGTCAAGCAAAACCGCAGCGGGTGAAACGTGAAGCATAGCTGCAGCAGGAGGAACGTGAAGCACAGCTGCAGCGGAAAGAACATGAAGCACAGCTGCAGTGAGAGGAACGTGAAACACACGTCCAGCAGGAGGAACGTGAAGCACATCTGCATCGGAAGGAACGTGAAGCACAGCTGCATCGGGAGGAACGTGAAGCACAACTGCAGCGGGAGGACCGTGAAGCACAGCTGCAGCGGGAGAAACGTGATGTACAGCTGCAGTAGGAGGAATGTGAATCACAGCTGCAGTGAGAGAAACGTGAAGCACAGCTGCAGCAAGAGGAACGTGAAGCACAGCTGCAGCGAGCGGGACGTGAAGCAAAGTTGCAGCGGGAGGAACGTTAAGCCCTGCTGCAGCTGGGGAACGTGAGACACAGCTGCAGTGGTAGGAACGTGAAACACAGCTGCAGCAGCCAGAACGTGAACGTGAAGCACAGATGCAGCGGGAGGAACACGAGACACTGCTGCAGCGGGAGGAACGTGGAAGCACAGCGGCAGTGGGAGAAAAGTGAAGCACAGCTACAGCGGTAGGAACATGCGACATAGCTACAGCGGGAGGAACGTGAATGTGAAACACCACTGCAGCGGGAGGAACGTGAAGCATAGCTGCAGCGAGATGAACGTGAAGCACAACTGCACCGGGAGGAATGTGAAGCACAGCTGCAGTAGGAGGAACGTGAAACAGAGCTTCAGCGGGAGGAACGTGAACGTGAAGCACAAATGCAGCGGGAGGAAAGTGAACGTGAAGCTCAGCTGCAGTAGGAGGAACGTGAGACACAGCTGCAGCGGGAAGAACGAGATGCAAAGCTGCAGCAGGAGGAATATGAAGCACAGCTGCCGCTGGAGAAACGTGAATCTCTGTTGCAGCGGGAATAGCATGAGACACAGCTGCAGCGGGAGGAACATGACACGCAGCTGCAGCAGGCGGAACGTGAAGAACAGCTGCATCGGGAGGAACATGAGACACTGCTGAAGCGGGAGGAACGTGGAAGCACAGCTGCAGTGGGAGAAAAGTGAAGCACAGCTGCTGCGGGAGGAATATGAAGCACAGCTGCAGCTGGAGAAACGTGAAGCACTGCTGCAGCGGGAGGAACGTGAGACACAGCTGTAGTGGAAGGAACGTGAAGCACAGCTCCAGCTGGAGGAACATGAGACACAGCTGCAGCCGAAGGATCGTGAAGCAAAGCTGCAGCGGGAGGAACGTGAAGCACAGCTGCAGCGGGAGGAACGTGAAGCACATCTGCAGCGGATAAAACGTGATGCACTGCTTCACCTGAAGGAACGTGAAACACAACTACAGCGGGAAGAACGTGAAGCACATTTACAGCGGGAGAAATGTGAAGCACAGCTGCAGCTGGAGGATCGTGAAGCACAGCTGCAGCAGGAGGAACGTAAAGAGCGGCTGCAGCGGGAGGAACGTGAAGCACATCTGCAGCGAGAGAAACGTGACACACAACTCAAGCAGGAGGAACATGAAGCACAGTGGCAGCGGGAGGAACATGAGACACCGCTGAAGCGGGAGGAACGTGAATAACAGCTGCAGTTGGAGGAACATGAAGCACAACTGCAACAGGGGGAACGTGAAGAGCGGCTTCATCGGGATGAACATAAAGCACAGCTGCAGCTGGAGAAACGTGAAGCACGTTGCAGTGGGAGTAACGTGAGTCACAGCTGTAGCGGGAGGAACGAGAAGATCCGCTGCAGCGATAGAAACGTGAAGTACAGCTGCAGCGGGAGGAACGTAAAGCACAGTACCAGCGGGAGAAGTGTGAAGCACAGCCGCAGCAGGAGGAACGTGAGACAGCAGCAGGGGGAGGAACTTGAAGCACACCTGCAGCAGGAGGAAGGTAAAGAGCGGCTGCAGCGGGAGAAACATGAGACACAGCTGAAGTAGGAGGAACGAGAAGAACAGCTGCAGCGGAAGAAACGTGAAGCACAGCTGCAGCGGGAGGGACGTGAAGAGCGCCTGCAGCGGGAAGGGCATGAGACACAGCTGCAGCGAGAGGAATGTGAAGCATAGCTGAAGCGGAAGGAATGTGAAGCACAGCTGCAGCGGGAGGAACGTGAAGAGCGCCTGCAGCGGGAAGAGCATGAGACACAGCTGCAGCGAGAGGAATGTGAAGCACAGCTGCAGCGGGAGGAACATGAAGTACAGCTGCAGCGGGAGGAACATGAAGCACTGCTGCAGCGGGAGGAACGTGAAACACAGCTGTAGTGTGAGGAACGTGAAACACATCTGCAGCGGGTGAAACGTGAAGCACTGCTTCAGCTGGAGGAACATGAAACACAGCTGCAGCGTGAGGAACGTGAAGCATAGCTGCAGCGGGAGAAAAGTAAAGCACAGCTGCAGCGTGAGGAACTTGAAGCACAGCTGCAGCTGGAGAAACGTGAAGCACTGCTGCAGCGGGACGAACGTGAGACACAGCTGTAGTGGGTGGAACGTGAAGCACAGCTGCAGCTGGAGGAACATGAGGCACAGCTGCAGCGGGAGGAACGTGATGCACACCTGCAGTGGGAGGAACGTGAAGCACAGCTGCAGCGGGAGGAACGTGAAGCACATCTGCAGCGGGTGAAACGTAAAGCACTGCTGCAGCGTGAGGAACTTGAAGCACAGCTGCAGCTGGAGAAACGTGAAACACAGCTCCAGCGGGAGGAACGTGAAGCATATCTGCAGTGGGAGAAACGTGAAGCAAAGCTCCAGCTGGAGGAACATGAAGCACAGCTGCAGCGTGAGGAACGTGAACGTGAAGCACAGCATCAGCTATGGGGAAATTAAGAATGGGTATGGACCGGGCGGGGCATACCACTCAAATAGCAAGCCCAGGTAAGCCTTCGAGAGCCTGCGAGGAAGCCTCCATATAGCAACTCAGGTACGAGCTATGGTGCAGGAAGCTCGGCCAGGGAGTACGCGGCTGTGAGTTC